GTGCGCCTCTGTTTCCCCACAGAGGTAGCTGGCTATGGAGGCGCAGTGCCCTCAGACGGGTGTGGGCTCTCATCTAACTGGGGAAACTGGGCATGTCTTTGAGGCTCCTGCGCCTCGTTGCTTCATCAAATGGGAATAGCAGGCGCTTTCTCTCCTCCTGTCTCCTCCATTTCTCTTCTCTCTCTCTCTCTCCCTCTTTCTCCTCTCTCTCTCTCTCTCTTTGAAGGAGAACACAGGGACTGAAGGGCCCCGGGTTGGCTCGGCAAACGCTGCTTGGCGGGGACGCTCAGCTGAGGCCACTCAGCTCCGGAGGGGCTGGCGCCTGCTGCCGAGGCTCCGGACAGAACGGTTCGGTTGGAAGCAGCCAGGTTGTGGCGTGGGGCCTTCCTCAGAGAGGGAGGCAGGGGCAAGACACAGATTTCTCGCAGCCACTCGAGCAGCGCTGCAGGCTGGCTGGGGGAACAGAGGCAGCCTTCCGAGATGACAAACACCTCGCCAACTGTTGCTCCCCTCCCCGAGAGAATGCCACCCACCACGTGCTCACAGCAAGACATGCATGTCTCAGTTCTCCGCTGCAGGGGAGGCTATCTGCAAGTGTTCTCAGGCACAGTTCAGTGTGACTTTTTTTTTTAACCCTCAACCAGCAAAAAGGAAAGAGCAGGGCCTGAGCTATGAGGCCGCTGCGAAGCTTGGGCACCCCCTCTCCCTGCCACCGCCCTGGCCTCCTCTGCGCAGCCTTGGTGTCTGACCTCTCTGGGGCCTTGAGGCTCAGGGGGAGCCGCCTGGGTTGGGGGGAGTGGGGGAAAAGAGTGAGACAACCTCAACCACTTGAGCAATAGACCCCTTCAGAACCCCCCAAACCAGGACGCCCCGAGGCAGGGAGGCAGAGCCCACTCACTCTGGGAAGATGCAGCGAAACTGCCTCCGAGCCACATGCCCTCTCTCAGCTCTTACTTGGTCATTTTTAAGGGGTGCTCTCACACACTTGCTCACAGGGTTCTCCCCTTTTCTGGAACCCTCGATGGCTTGAGTGTAGGCCCCCGGGGATGGTGGCCCCTCGAGTGCCCTTCCCTAGAGAACGACCCCGTGCCAGGAGGAGGCCGGGGTTTTCACAGTGGTCAGGGCCATTTATTTACAGCCCAGAAAGAATCAATGCAGCGTAAAGAAACCAGACCCAAAGCTCCTTACTAAGGGGGCTGCTCCACCCACCACCCGCTCCCTCAAGTCTCAGGCTGAGCAATCATTGGGTTCCCCACACACCTCCCTTCCCTTCCCTTCCCATCCCGACCCTGAGTCTGGAGCCAGGGTCCCTCGCTGCTCTGGCCCTGAAAGACCCTTCAGGAAACGGAGGAAGTGTGTATGGGCACAGCCCAAGCATGTTTCAAAAAGCTTTCCAATTCTGCTATTTTTTTCCCTCCTCATATTCAATATTCTTGGTTGCTAAGTGGGAGGAAATGTGGGGAGGTGGGAGAGGTGTGGAGAACTGAGGGGAAATTGGCAACGTGAAGGCTGATGGGTTTATTTTCTCATTTCTGAGGGGGGTGGGGTGTCGGGGGATGTTTCGGGCAGAGGAATGTGCCCCAGGGCTGAGCAGCCAGCCTGCTAGCTGGGCCTCTTGCCCCCACAAACCCCACAGCTTCCCACAGGCCGGGGTGGGGGGTGCTTTGAGGGGAGATGAACATGGGCACTTTCTATTTTCGCTCCCAGTCACAGACATGTGGGATCATTCCCCATGAAAGTGACCTTTCTGTTCAGGGTGAACCCACAGGGGGAGGAGGCCAGTCTCATGATGCCCACTGCCTGCCTGCAGGTGCCAGGCCACAGGCCGGGGAGGCTGCAGAGTAAGTCTTGCCAGCTGAGCTCTGCAAAGGGCTGTGGGGGTCCCGGGCGGGGGGGAAGGCGGAGGGTTGACGGTCTAGTCTAAGCTCCCTGGCTTTCTAGCGGCACTGTCTGCTATACCCGAGGCCAGGGGGCCCCGCTCCTAACAGGGTTCTCCTTTGAACCTCCCTTTTTAATGGGCAAACTCTTTCATCCTTCAGAGTGGGCCAGGGAACCCCACATCCACTTTGCTGCTCCCCAGCCCCCTCCCACCTTTGCACACCCCAGACCCCCAGGCTGCCATCCCCTGTGGCCAGTCTGTCCCCATTGGAGCACATTGACAACATTGTTACAAAAATGAGCGTCACATTTGAAGGTGCCTGGCTTTCCTGGGCCCACCGGGCGCTGTCCACACACCTGGCTGGGAGCTGAGGGGTGTTCTGGGGGTGTGGGTGGATGGGGGACTTCACTAGCACCATCAGGTCCCTTTCCGCTAAGTCACTTCTCTCACGGGGGGCGGGGAAGAGGGGGGCACACGTAGCAATCCAGAGACAGGTCAAGAAAAATGGCCCCAGATTTGGAAATGGGAATATAGCTTACTGGGTATCTTCCAGAGGACTGCTCCTTAGAAGTGAGGAGGGTGAGACGTTGTCTCGCGTACTTCGGACATGTTATCCAGGGGAGCAGAAGGACATCGTGCTTGGTGATGTAAACGGACAGCGAAAAGAAGAGCCTCCGGAGATGGCGTGGCTGCAGCAATTGCCTCGAATCTGCCTACCATTGTGAGGCTAGCACAGGATGCAGCAACGTGCGCCCCCCCCCCCCTGAATTGGAAGCAATTCAGACAGCAGCAGCTCATGACATAAAGAGCAGTGGAAGGTGGGGTGTTGACTAGTGGACCCTCCCAGGATTCTCTGATTCTCTGGGCTGCCCCATTGACGGGCTTCCTGCGAACGAACAGGGCTATCACACCTCTCTGTAGGAGCGGAAGTTAAATAAGTCAACCAACAGTAAGGCTGGCAGAGAGCCTTGGAACAAGCGCGGTTCAAGAGTGCAGCTGCTCACCGTGAGATCATCAGTTCAAAGTCACCCCCCGCTGGGTGGAAGGAAAAGGCAGCGATAAAAACCGCAGCCTTGGAAACCCTAGGAGCAGCTCCCCTCCGGCCTTTCGGGCCATGTGAGTTGGAACTGACTTGCCAGCAAGGTGCCATAGGCACAGGTGACTTCTCCTTCTGTCTGAAAAGGCAATCCAAGCAATACACTTGCTTGTTCTATGGCACCGTGGGGTACGTGATGGGCTGCTAACCATGAGGCCAGCAGTTCGAAACCACCCTATTCCATGGGAGAGAGACGAGAGAGATAAGTCTTTCTGCTCCGGTAAAGATTCACAGCCCACAAACCCGAAATGGGCAGCTCTACTCTGTCCTGTAGGGTCGCTATGAGTCAGAATTACTAGATAGCGGTGAGTTTCCCCCCCACCCATCGGATAGCATCTTTTCATGTATTTGCAAACTCATCTTGGCTGTCTGTAGATCCGAGGGGACTTCGTGGAGGAACGGAATGCAAAGATAATGGCAGTTCCCCAGGAACTTTTTGTGTGTATTTGCTGTCCACGGTCCTCTGCACACGGGTCTCCACATTTTGCACGCTCCCTCAGCAGTTAACGAGGCAAACAAGGTCTTGGTCACGTGCTTGTGTTGTCCTTGTCTGAGCCATGAGCGTAACTGGGGGAAATCCGACTTGGTCTGATCTGTGGCGGTCTCTCCTCTCCTGCCAGGATGCAGCCTGCAGTCTGAAATACGTCACTGACTAGCCTGTCCATGAACTGCTAGGAAGGTGGGGACGTCGTCAAGGTGGGGAAGGGATTCGGACGGAGATGAATTATGAATTGAGCCCAGCGGGTCATGCCGTGGTAGCAAAAGCACAAACGACCCACGCTGTGGATGCTTCATCGGCTGCCTCACCTGGGGGCCTGGCGAGCGCCTGGTGAATGCCCATCTGAGGCGGCCCTGCTAGGCCCGGGCCCACGCAATCACGCCGCCACACAGGCGGTGCCGGTCGTCCCTTACCTGGGGTTGGTGAGGTTGTAGCAGGATTTCCATATCTGCAGCATGTGCTTACAGGTGAGCAGCGCCTCGTCTGGGCCCCGGCACAGCGACTCCAGCTTCACTTTGGAAAACAGTAGTCTACGGCAGGGAGACAGGGAGAGAACCACACAGGTCAAGCCGGAGCCCCACGGACCCAACACAGCGTGGCCCGACTCCGAGCTGGGCACTGCAGGCAGTCCCGGGGGGCGAGTGTCCCCCTTACAGACCCCTCCTCACTCGCTGCCATCCAGTCAATGCCAACTCAAAGGGCTCCTATAGGACAGGCTAGAACTGCCCCTGTGGGTTTCCGAGACTGTAACTCTTTAAAGGGGTAGAAAGCCTCCTCTTTCTCCCGAGAGGAGGAGCTGCTGGTGGTTTCGAACGGCTGACCTTGAGGTTAGCAGCCCAGCGTGTAACCCACGATGCTACCAAGGCTCTCAAGTCTCAGGACCAGGTCGGATGTAAGGACAGTGTGACACTGGTCTTTTCACTTAGAACACGTGGGATTTGATGGTGAACGTAGAAGGCGGGGACAAAAGCTATTTTGGGGTGAAACTTCAAACATTCATTAAAAAGTGGGTCTTGATTTATTTGCAGACGTACACAAGATTTGTAGGGGAAGTCAGGAGGCAGAAGGCCATCCTGGGGCCTCCCCTGGGGTCGTGGTGGGGAGCCCGGGGACGGGTTGGCAGCAGAATCTATACCTAACCTGCCGTGCAGGTGACTGGATCTTCGAGCTTCGAAGGCTGCACACAGGAGGCACTGACGGGAAGCTGGGGACTCTGAAGGCGCCTCCCCTGTCAGGTCCCCACCCCAGGGCTTCACAAACTCAGCCCAGTCACAAGGTGCCTCTTCCCTATGCGTTACCACGAACACGCCCATCCTCCACGCAGACCCTCTGAGGACGGAGCTTGGAACCGTCTTTCTTGGTCCTGTTACCCACTTTTCCCGAATCCGACTTGGTTCCTGGCAAGGCTCCGGGGTGGTCATCCTGCCCCCTGACTTCCCATAGGACCGCTTAGTCTCAAGATCTCGAAAATTAATGTTTTATTCCCACTTGCAGAAACCATAGGGATTCCTTTCTGTCTCTGCTTCTCAGGCCAAGTTCCCTCCAGCTCTTTCAGGCCCTCGACCAACTGGCCACTCTGATGTCGCTTCCCCAGTCGGATCTGGGCCACACTGACGATGGGACCTGTTGCTCTTCCCTGTGCAATTAAAGGGCCAGACACTCTCCAGTTATAAGAGCACACCCGCCGTGTCCTCCATCTCCCCACGGTCAACTAGACCCCATCTCATCAGGTTACGTCTTCCAGGACAAAACTTTGAGGCTTTTATCTTCTCGGCTCAGTAGCTACCATGTGCGCTGGTCTGCGTTGCTAACCAAAATGAAGCAAAGGAGAAAACTATTCATTAAAGGCCTCCCATCTCAGCCTTTGTATTTGGCACCTGCTTTCATAATGACCTCCCGCGATCCACGTAACAGCTCTTCTGGGGAGGCAGTCTTCATCTCCCCAGCAACAGATTAGAAAACCCAGACCCGGGACAGTGTCTTCTGGTGGTTGTCTGATGTGGGTCCCATGGCCACCACTGGATATTAAATCCTCATTTGCTCATGGCCACCCTCTCTAGGACAAGATAAAGAAAGGTGTTTCTAAGTCAGACCTCAGTCGCCTTGCATGCTGATCCACACGATCACATGATCCACATGACGCTGTGACTGCCCTCTCATCTGGACACTTGTCGAGCCCCCAGGGAAGGCCATCCAGAGAGGGACATCTCACTGTCCTCTGTATGAGGCCTAAGGAGGGGGGTCCCAGTCAGTCACTGCCCAAGCTCACCGCGCGCTCCTGGTAGGACACAGATGGAGGGGTCTAGTGGGGTAAGGTCTGCAGCAGCTGGGGGCGATGGGATGGGAGGCCCCGATCTACAAGCAGGTGGGCATCTGAGCGAGGCTAGCTGTGAGAATAGGGCTTGCCTTCTGCCCATAAAGATCTCAAGCAGAAGGGGGGATTCCCCTGAAGCCTTTCCAGGACCACCTGCAGGCACGACAGCCATCCAGGCTGTCTCCAGAGGTTCGCCAAGAGCGGAGAAGCTGGCGCGTCTTCCTGAATCACGACAGGGCGTGGTCCAGGGGGGCTTTTCCACCAGAATCTCCTACCAAGTGTGGGTCAACTGGGAGACATGATACAAAGGAAGGAGAAGCTTCCAAGGGTCACCTGTCTGCTTTGGCAGAACTTTTGGGGGCCCAGAGACTCTCCTGGATGAAGTGACTACCAAACAATTGAGGTCAGGTGAGAGCCTCCCCACCCCCCAACCATGGGGAGACCCCATCCAGAACCGCAGGAAGACCCCACCCAGGAGCATGAGGCGATCCCTCTCAGGAACTTGAGGAGAGTCCACCTTGGACCACAAGGAGACCCTCATTGAGGACCAGGTGCAGACCTCATCCAGAACCATGGGGAGGCTCCTCCCAGGACCACAGTGAGCCTGGGGAGTGGGGGGCACAAAGGACGATGTTGAGTCTCCGGGCAGCAATGGCAGTTTCTCTGGTGCAGCCATGCTTGGAGCCTGCTGCCCAGGGAGGGCCGGGGAGGTGGTGGGGAAGGTCCCCCGACACAGGCAGGAGTGTGGTCCTGCCAGCCACTACCCACCACCCCTTTAACTGTACCCGAAGTACCCCGAATGCCAGGGCTCATCTCTAAGCCTCAGCCTGGGGGAGCAGTTCTGCGCGAGGCTTCTCGGCTAGAAAGAGAACGTCTAACGAACATGAAATAACAGCTTTCAAGCACTGCACTCAGGGTGTGTGGTTGGAAAGGTGTGGGCTGGATCTGGGACAGCCAGACAGGAGGAACAATCGCAGCACAGCTGGGCACAAAGGGTGGAACGGGCACCTGGAACAGGGGGGACAGCTGGAACGAGAGACAGGCAGGGGAAGGGGAGCCAGGGAGCCCAAGCCTGGGAGCAAACCTGTTCTCGGCCCCCCAGCACAGGGATGCCCGCTGCCGTGGGCACAGAGGCCCGGCCGGAACCGTCCCTTGGATGGGAGGGGAGATGCAGGGTCTGCTGCCAGGCACGCACCTCCCCTTGCTGTCCACCGGCCCCGGCATGATGATAAGGCAGAAAACAGTGCGGAAAGAGGAGCCAGGGAAGCTTGTCTCCACATTTGCCCAGCCCTGCTCACACATTTCAAGACTGCTGGGCGACATCTGGCTGGGTGCGGGTTACGTGCACAGAGCAACGAGGAGGACACAAAGAATGGACAGCATTCCCCTGCTGCAGCCCACGGCCAGAGAGCCCAAGGATCCCGTCCACACAGGAAACCAAGCCCGGCGGCAAACCCAAGTCCCGAGAAAGCTGTCTGTCCAGCTGCCTTTATACACTTGGGGTCCGTCTACCGGTCAATGTTCCCTACATCTCCTGCTTGACCTCCGGGTGGAGGGTGTGGGGCCGGCCAGGCTGAGAGCGCTTGCGGGCCACACCCCAAGTCCGGCCGTGAGTGGAGTGCGATGCTTCTCCTGAAGTCTACGAAGAAGCCACCTGCAGGCTTCCCCGAAGGTCGCAATGAGACTGTGACGGTGGCGAGGGACCAGGTAGCATTTTGTTCTGTGGTGCACGCGGCCGCTGTGCGTCGAAACTGACTCCCAGGCGCCTATCAACCATGCCGCACCTGGTGCCAAGTGCATTCACCTAACTGCCAGAAACACTCCGTTCAGAGAAGTCAGGGAGGCACCGCAGGCCAAGAAGGGGCACCCTAAAGCATCACTCCGAGGACAGTCTGTAACCGTGCTGCCATGTCACCCACGGAGCGAGTCCCTACAATGTCTTTCATGATGTGCTCCCACCCCCGGCTTAGCTTTGGTCTGTCAACTGCCCTCCAGGGATACCGTCCACTGCAGCCATGGCCAGCTCCACCACCTACCACTCTCCTCCCTGCCTTTGGAGGTTTGCGTGTGCTGTTCCCTTTGTTTCAAATGCCGTTCCAAGGCCATCCATTCCTGCCTTTTAAGCATCTGCTTCTTTCTGAAGATTCAGGTCATGTCAGGTTGGGTTCTCCAAAGAAGTCAAGCCACTAACGCGTGTCTGTCTATGCATATAGATAGATTTCCATCAAGAAATGGTTCACGCCTGGTAGAAGTGACTCAGTCCAGAGGAGTTCAAGGCCACGGGTCAGGTGTCAGCTGACTTGTATAGCTGGAGGGGCTGATGAACAGGAAGCAGGAAGATGAAGCTGGAAGCTCGCAGGCTGGTGGAGGCAGAGCTGAGTGAATCCAAAGTCGGCAGTCTGCTGAGGGATCCTGGGAATGGCAGGCTGGGAACAGGAGGTCCAAGAACCAGGTGCAGGGTCCAGGTCCAGCAGGAGAAGTCAGCTAGTCACTGTCCATTTACACTACGAGTAGACCACGCCCTGAATGCAACCTCCCTCAATGGGATCAAGGCTGTGCCCAGATCAAGGAGGTCTGTTCTCCCCACAACTGCTTGGCGGCTTCACAGAAGACCCCACCATGAAGTGGACCTCACTGTGTTAGATCCTATCATGGGAGAATCCTGGTCCACTCAAGTGGACATAAAACCGAACTATCACAGGGGTCAACTAGCAACCCTTTGCTGAAGATAACCTTAAATAATCAATAAGAGTGAGGGAGCCTGGTGGCATACTGGTTACACATTGTGCTGTTAACAGCAAGGCCAGCAGTTTGAAACTACCAGCAGTTGCTATGAGGGGGAAAGACAGGGCTTTCTAGTCCCGTAAAGAGTTACCGTTCAACAAAAAAGCGAACAACAACAACAAAAAAGAGTTACCGTCTTGGAAACGTACCACGGGCAGTTCTACTCTGTCCTGTAGGGTCGCTGTGAGTCGGCATCGCCTGGATGGAAGTGAGTTTTTGGGTAACCCTCCCAGACAGAAATGCACTCACAGAAAACACCAGCTCTACGATTGGGGGCTTTGGTTTCCAGGGTAACGGACAGGGAGAGCAACGTGGTGGCAGCTGCCCCACCTCGGGCCCATGGAAGCCTTCCAGCTGGGACTGAGTGCTCTGCCCGGGTTCACGCTGCCAGTCTACAGGCTCCCGTGCCAGTCCAGCTGATTCCCAAGCACG